CACACACACACACACACACACACACACACACACACACACACACACACTACAATAAAAACAAACCTTAAAAACAAAGCTCTGTAGTGAAAGCTGGGTGTGTTAGCACACACCTTTAATCTCAGCACTGTTGAGGAAGCAGGCAGATCTCTAAATTCAGGCCAGCCTGGTCTACATTTCAAGTTTTAAACCAACCATGACTACCCACTCAATTCCTATATAAAAAAGAAAAGGACAAGGTCTCTAGTTGCATCTACTGTGAATCCAGAGTTTAGAAGTCCTGGCCAAAAAAAAAAAAAAATCAGCTCCAGAAGCTCCTTACTTTTATGGGTCTCCAATCTATCTTATCTGTCCACTGAAAGGTATGAACATCATTTACTTGCCACCTGGTTATCTGGTCTCACTGAATCAACCAGGCACTGCTCTATGACAAGGTGATTCACCTCTCCTGACCTTGATTCCTTCACTTGGTTAAAGATACACTGCTTGCTTTTGGGAATGGGCCTGGTATCAAACAGCTGTTCATAATACATCACTTCTTGAAAGGGGCGCCGAGAGGTATGGCTCTGGGAGCTCTCCACTTTGGGACCTGCGCCATTCTGTAAACATGTCCTGGTATCAGTCCTGTGCCTTTGCTCTATACCTTCAAAGGCCATGACTGGCCAAGGTCCTGGCTGTCTAGTTCTTACACTGCCTTGATGAATTTGAACAAAGCATCCCAAGGACCCTAGGCTGTTCAAGCTCAGAGCAGATGGCTAGGAAGCCAGTTCTCTAGGACATACAATCCATGACTCAGATCTAGGCAGGTGGCCAAGGCTTTCAAAAGGCTCTAGAAAAACTTAACCCTCATCCCAGCCTCCCCAGGCCCCATTCCCTGCAGTGTCCCTGAGAGTTTAAATAGTTTTACTGCTGGGCTCATTCAGTGACATTGAAGAAAGAGCATGAAGAAACATCAAGATTCGGTGCCTATGTGGAGAGGCCTCAACTCTGATATGGAGGAAGGGTTCTTCTTCACTGGAGAGAAGCCAAGAGAAAGTTTATGGCACTCCCAAGAATGTCTTTGGACCAGGAAGAAGGGATTCCGGGTACCTGGAGTCTAACAACACTATGCAAAGATTGGAGAAACCCATCGTGCAGCCAAGGGTGGGTGGCTCTGCCTCAGTATAAGCCCTAGGAAGGGAACAGAAGAATGCCATGATCCTGGGGGTAATTTACTCTTCTGTGTGACCTCCGGTGTCACCTTGGGGCAGGTATAAGAGGGAGACAGGGGTATATAATAGCAAGAGGAATGCCAGAATAGGCATGTGTTTCCCCTTTCCTTGGTGTCTGGTTCCCATAATGGCTTTGAATGTATCAATCCCTCCCAAGGCTTTTTTCTGACCCTGAGGTGGTCCGCACAGCTTATTTTCTGGAGTAAGATGTTGAAAAATCACCCATATGTTTATTCATCTAACACATTCGCTGATAATACTACTATACACAAAGTTCTGTCCTAGGACAACACTTTGAAAAGATCAGCTAAGTCTTCCCGGAGCTCCCTTGATTCATGGGGTGGGGGTGGGGGATATAAGTTACCAGGCAGCTTTATTACATAGAATCAATCCATGAGATAAAATAAAAGCGGGATGTGGGAGTCGCAGGGGACTACACCTGGGAAGGATGAGGGGAAAGTTCTTGGAAAGGAGACCTGGGCAAATAGGAGATGCTGAGGAGACAAGAAAGAGTCCAGGAAGAGGAAATAGTGTGAGCGGACCCAGCAGAAAGCTGAGCAGTTGCAGATGCTCACTGTGAGCAGAGTGTGGGAAGAAGTGACATGAAGTAGGGGAGGTTGTTGGAAGCTCTTGGACGTCATGATGAAAAGGCAGGACATGATCTTGAAGACTGTGAAAATTGAGATAGGGGCATGCTTTGATCACTCCAGGTTTTTGGCAATAAGACAGTAGGGGAAAGGTACAAATACAAATTGCATCACAAATCAGTGTTCCAGTACAGTGAGGGCTTGGGGTGCTAAGGAGCTTGCCTAGCATGTGTGTTTGGTATAATGTATGGAATGTATACAATTTACCCTCATTCATTCAAATTCCCTACCCCACTATCTGGTTTCAATCCGGACATTGCATTGTGATGTTTATTCTAAGCATCACCTGTCTCAAGTTTGTGTAAACATGCCACCATTTGTTTTCTTTATTGTCAATAAAACAACCAGCCACAATGCTAAGGCAATGGAGAGAATAGGGTGCAACATTCTGGTCCAGAGAGGAGAAGGGAGGAGGAGGAGAGCAGAAATTGGCAGGAGAAGTCTTGGAAACCATGAGGAGAGATGAACCAGACTTAAGATATGACAAAAAAGCAAGTATAATGTGGGAAATCTGAATGGGAGGAAACTATGCAGGCTTGGAGGTTTAGGATGGAGTAATTATTGTCCAGCACTGTGCTCTATGTTAATTAAATAAATCCTGGTCTCTGTGTGGTGATTTGGGTATACAGTTGGTTTGTGAATGACTGCTGTTTAACTCCAGATAACGCAACAATAAATATTAATATTCAACAACACGTGTGTAATAACCTAGGCTCTCTTTCCAGTAACAAACACATCCATACTCATATGCGAAGTCCACAGTGA